TTGGCCCGGGGGGGGGGGGCGGCTTGGCGAGCAGGGGTACCGGGATGGGGTGGGGGTCAGAGCATGGAGCTCGCCGTCTTTGGAGGAGTCCCGGGAGTCCAATGTTCCCTCTAAGCTGTGGAGTCTTGTGAGCAAAAATCCTACTTTCTGAGCTCCTGGCATTAAAGTTGTGAGCAGTGAGCGATTGGGCTACTGCAGAAATTAGTTTGCTCTGGAGCCCTCCTCCCTGAGCAAGACAAAAATGTGTGCGCCGGAGGCTAAAAAACCGTGAGCTAGCTCACACTCACTCAGCTTAGAGGGAACACTGCCCGGGACTCCTTGCAGGGAGCAGCCCCACGGAGGGCCACCTGCTCCACCCCACCCGGGCCACGGGCCGATGCCAGCCTCTCAAACTGGGGACCCCTGCCCATGGAGGGGGGTGGTGGAGCAGGTGGCTAAAGGACTGCCCCACCCGGGCCACGGGCCGATGCCAGCCTCTCAAACTGGGGACCCCTGCCCATGGAGGGGGGTGGTGGAGCAGGTGGCTAAAGCCCTGCCCCTCCTTTGGGGCTTCTAACCGCCGCTGACTCTGCCCCCCTGCGGTCGGGGGTGGTCTTCCCTTCAACCAGGGTTACTTTCTGGTCGTTTGGCCAGTCTCCAGGGGAGGGCCCCGGGGAAGCTCCATAGCGGCAGTCCAGCAGCACTGGTTTCTGGGGCACCCGGCCGGGAAGAGGGTCAGTAGGGAGCCCCTCCGTCCATCTCCTGCCCAGAGACCCTCTTCCCCTGCCCCACACCGAAAGCAGGCCGCCCTGGGGGGGACTCTCGGGGCAGCGCGGCAGGCGCGGGCAGAGCTGTCGTGCGTTGGGCGTCATGTTTGTACCTGTGGTGCTTTTGCACTTTTAGGCCACTTCCCAAGGGCGTCGTGGTCATGGGCTGGCCCTGACCGCTTGAGGGCTACCAATGAATGGGGGGGGGGCACGATCAGAGTTGGGCTCCCCAAAATGGAAGGGTGTGCTGGGTTCGAATTCTGACTTCCATGCCGCCTATGTGCCCCTCCAGAACGCACAGCCAAAATGCCCAGGCCCTGGGAGTCTTTTTTGGAGATTCACCATCTGAAGAGGAGTGTGAGGGCCGCACAGGAGGCCAAGGGAGGCAGTTCTAGTCCACCAGGCCGGGGCCAGGGATACCCACAAGTTCCGTGCATATGGAGTCCCTTCTACTTCCGCAAACCCTGGGTCCTGTGAGCGACCCACACCTGTACCAGCTCTCCCTATCTGGCAAGCTGCCTTTGTCGGGTGGCTGGCGGCATGGCTCAAACCCCCAAACCTCTCTCTGGCTCAGTGGTAGAGCATCTGCTTGGCATGCAGAAGGTCCCAGGTTCAATTCCCGGCATCTCCAGCTAAAAGGATCAGGTAGTAGGTGATGGGAAAGATCTCCGCCTGAGACCCTGGAGAGCCGCTACCAGTCTGAGTAGACAGAACGGACTTGGATGGACCGAGGTTCTGATCCGGTACAAGGCAGCTTCATGTGTGTTCGTGTGACGACTGTTTGCTGGCTGAAACGCCGCGAGGCAGACATGCTTCCAATTATATCTAGCCGCTGGGTTTGAGGTCTCGAGAGAAGTCACACGTATTTTCCACTCTCCGCGCGCTTCGTGTGGGTGACAAATCGTTTCCAAGAGTCACTGGTTTCCTCTTGCCACGTTTCTTGTTTTTTCCCCTTTTTTGGGGGGGGGAGGCTGGAGTCTTTCTTTCAGAAGGGGGCTCCTCCAGCGAAGGAGAGGTTAACAGCACCGTCTTCTCCCTTTCTTGCACGCCTTGGCATGGCCCACTCTGGCATTTGGCCGGCTTCTTCCCTCTCTCGCCCCTTTTTCTTTCTGATACCCACTGTTTTGTCCCCAGTTCGCACATGGCTTGAATCGCTCCTTTCTCTCTTGGGAGCAAGCTGCAGCCCTGATGCATTGTGGGGAACGTGCGTGTGGCGGCCATCTTGGGCAGCTCAAGGGAATGCCCCCCCCGGCCCGATGAGAGAAGCCTTCTTGCATCCCCATATTGCCCCCCCTCCAAATCAGGGGTAGTTCCCCCCCCACTATAACTGTCCTCCTCTCAGTTGCTGAAATAAGGGCGGCAGAACTGGGGAGTAAAGTTTGGCTCTTCTCCGGCACTCTTCCGGACGCTTTCTGGCCCTGCATCGTGGGACCGGGCCGTGGGGAGGCACCTGCCTGTCCCTGGCACGTTTGCCAGTGTCCCTCCGGGGGGTTGCGCACATCGCAAAAACTGGCTGCTGCGTAGAGCAAGCTGAACCACGGGGAGGTTTCCAGGCAACCGATCGGAAGTGGTTACAGGCCCGGCGAGGGCAGGAAGCTTGCGAGGTGACCGCAAGAGAACAAGGGAAGAATAAGAGTCGTTCGGCCCCAGAACGTGGCTCGTGGGGCCCTTGTGGAGACCCCAAACTGCCCGCTTATCTCTGCTCTCTCCCACACCGTTCCCGCTTGTTGTTGGAGTCCCGTTGTTTCCCCCACCCATTCCCTTTTCCTACAATGCTCCCCCTCAGTTTGGTGTCGTGGTGAGGAGCGCGGACTCTAATCTGGGAGAACTGGGTTTGATTCCCCCTCTCCTCCACATGCAGCTGCTGGTGTGACCTTGGGTCAGTCACAAGTTCTCTGAGAGCTTTCAAGAGCAATTCTCGAAAGAGCTCTCTCAGCCCCACCTCCCTCACAGGATCTCTGTTGTGGGGAAGGGGAGGGGAGGAGATTGTAAGCCGCTCTGAGACCCCCTTCAGGTAGTGAAGGGCAGGGTATAAACCCAAGCTCTTCTTCTTCTGATGGTGCCAGCGTGGAGGGAGGCCCTGAAGTGAAAAAAGACAGCTCCAAGTACCCCCATTTTTTTTGGGGGGGGTAGATTGGCCAACCTAGCAACCTGCCAACCTAGCAGTTCGAAAGCAAGAAAATGTAAGTAGATAAATAGGTACCACTTCAGTGGGAAGGTAACAGCGTTCCGTGCGCCTTGGTGTTTAGTCATGCCGGCCACATGGCCACGGAAACGTCTTCGGACAGCGCTGGCTCTTCGGCTTTGAAACGGAGATGAGCACCGCAACCCTAGAGTCGGACTCGACTGGCTTTCAAGCAAGGGAGACCTTTACCTTTACTTAGATTGGCCTCAGCTGGAGACCCCAGGGAATTCTCCTCAAGCCCTGCTGCTGTTAATCACGTACAGAACAATTTTAAACAGTGTTGCGAAAGCGCCAAGGTGTACAACAGCCTTGTGAGGTTGGCCAGTATGACTTCCCTTTTGCATGTAGGGAACTGAGGCAGAGCTAGAGGCTTCCCCAAGGCCAAGCCGGGGGCTCAAGGCAGATTCATTGGGTTATCTTGTGGCTTTTGATCCGCCAGCTCTCGCCCCCGTGCGCTCACGCAGTTCCTCCTCCCTGATCTCTCCCACCAACCTCAGGGCTGCTATCGAGACGGTGGAAACGGAAGTGTCCGTGCTGGAGACGCAACTAGAGAAGGTGAGGGGACCAGTCCTAACCCGAACCCTTTCTTATCTCTTTTAGTGTTTTTTTAATTATGTGCCGATATGTGCATGTGCGTGCACAGCTGGAAGTCATGGCGACCTCTGGTGACCGACCCCTCCTGGGGGCCTGGAGGATATTCAGAGAGGTGGCTGAGTCAAGCCTGCCCCCACCTCCCTCCTCTGGTATTCCAAGGAGGTCTCCCACCCAAGTGCTCGCCACAGTCGACCCTGCTTCGCTTCTGAGATCTGACGAGAGATCGGGCTTCCCAGGGCTATCCAGATCAGGGCGGCCGGGGGCCTGTCAGACGTTTCGGGCCTTGCTGCCCATGGAGAACCTGCTGGCAGAGAGGCCGGGCTGCTTGGCGAAACGGCTGGTTTGTCATGGCCGGAACCTGAGCTGTGTTGCTTTCATCCAGCAAGCTCAGCCCTGGTTTGCACAGGGAGACTCCAGGAAGGTGCAAGTTGGGTGCCTCAGGAGATAAGATTTTTTTTGGGGGGGGGCCTGGCTGTGGTTGTGGGCAGTGTTCCCTCTCAGCCAAATTTGTGTGAGCCAGCTCACAGGCTTTTAGCCTCCAGCTCACAGGGTTTTATCCTCCGGCTCACACATTTTTGCCTCGGCTCAGGAAAGATGGCTCCAGAGCAGACGGATTTATGCAGCAGACGTAACTCGCTCACCCCTTTCATGCCAGTCGCTCCCAAAGGAGAATCCTTGCTCACAGGACTCCGTAGCGTAGAGAGAGCATTGGGTGTGGGTCTCTTGAGTCAACTGCCCTGTTCCTTCTCTCTCCCCCCCCCCC